TTCCTTTTATTCTGATGAAGGAACAACATCTGAAAAGTCAAGACTGAGATCTTTTATCACTTTTCTGTGTTTTTAAACTGCYRATATGGCTAAAACTATGTTTAATCTGGATTRTTTTTGTTTACATACCTATTTTTCAAGTGTTCTAGTATATTTGGTAAGGCCTCTATCCATCCCATTCGAAGTCCTGGGCAAAAWATAGTGGATAATGACCCTATGGAGACCACATGACCTAAYGTGGCATTGCCATTGGATGAATTTTGTCTTAAAAAAGAGACAAATTTGTTAATAATAATTTCATTTTTTTCTTTTTTGAGAAGTTCACAGAGAAAGAGAAATGGATATATTATTAAGAACAGCTATAATATTTAAGAAAAATAGAGGGTTAATTTATTACAATTAATGTACATTCTGGCGTCGGAGAGCAATCAATAAGTTTAAAAATCATTTATCATCTTTATGCTTTTACTAATTGACCATGCCTTTCCATTCCAATTTTTTAATGAAAGGAAAAACAGGAAAATAAATATAAAAATATTAGAGGGAACTTAGGCAGGACTAAAAAAAGGGAAACAAAAATATAATGAACTTGAGAAAGTAGCTTGTAACACATAGTTGTATCCAAGCACTTCTCTCGCTATTTAGGTGCCACTGAGAATAATTGGCCATTCTGAAATTCAAAAGGAGACTGGGAACAACTGTGAAAATATTACATTTGTCTAAAACTGAACCTCCACATGAAAGACCACACTAGAATAAGGGTTCCCGTTAAATTTGAGAATATTTGGTTGAATACTTACAGAGTAGGAATTTTTTCAAATTTGTCAAAATATGAGAGAATGTATGGCTTTTGGGGAGGGTGCTCAAAACCGCCATACATTCTTTGTAATTTTTTTCAAGTTTTAAATGCTTGAAACTCTTTAATTATTTATCCAAATATTCTCAAAGTCAGCAGCTTTACTAATTTTAGTATGGTCTTTCTTGTCCTGGTGTCTGTTTTTTGATTGCTTCAAATGGTATTGAGTTTGTGACTAGTCACCAGTCCCTTTTTGAATTTCAGAACTGACAATACTTCTAATCAACCCCTTCTAGCATAGTGGAAGAGTAAAGACTCTGCAGGCCAGCATGTATAAATATAGTAGTACCTGATATCATAAGCAATTAGTCTCTTTGGGGGAGGCCCAAATGGTGCTTTGTCTTTTTCATAAGAAATACACTGATAGATATCATTTGATACACACAGACAATTGTACTTTTGCATTAAATCCACAAGTTGCTGGCACTTTTCTAAAACAACAACAGCATAGTTGAGGCACACATTTACAAAGGAGGTGATCCAGGGGGGGGGGGGGGGGGGGCGTGCAGACTACATTTATATCCTCACATGGCTTTGCACTTACTTTTTTTGTGATTTTTTTTTGCGTGTGGCAATTATTGTTGTTTGCATCCCCCCCCACATATTTTCAACCTACCATCTCTGTTTACATCAAGATCCTGGGGGATACATACCTTATCCCCGATGAATTTGTATCTGCATTTTATATTGCTTGACTGTGTGCTTATGTCTGTGCCTTCCCCCTTATTTACTAACTTAATAGCCTTTCACCCATTCCTGCTTAGATGCATTACATTTCTCACAGCATATATCATACCATCACTAAGGGAGATCCCTGTAGGATTCTGGTAGCATGGAGTCAAGAACAATCCAGCAGAAAATGGTTTGGATTCCTTTTTCTTGAGCTTTGATAACTTTTTATCAAGTTCAATGGTGCTGATACCATCCTCKTCTATTGGAACTAAAACAAAAACAYGAAATGATTTAGCTATACWTTCCTTGGGGCTACTGAGAACTTTTCTAGCTGTCTGCCTGGACAGTTCCATATGAGTTATACTACTCAATGTGGTCCACTGACCAACTCACTCCCCCTTGGGGTCACTATACCTGGAATTAAGGTCATCCCTAATGCAGTCAGAATGGCGAGTTCTTTAGGAGCTGCAGGCTCTTCTACAAAGATTGTGTCTCCTTTCTCAAAAAACACATTACATACCAAGGTCAGTGCATGGGTAGCACCTCCTGTTACCATCAAGTTATTGCTATAAACAAAACGAGTGATATAAAAGATTTAATTTAGTATCAGCCATAAGTCTGAAGTATGGGGTTGGCTGATATACAATTACGAAAAGAAAAGAATCCAATCGACAGTATTTTTTGGGTGTCCATTTCATTAAGCTTAGAAAATTTGTACTTTCTGTCACTTAACAAAAATTATCTTGAACATTCATTGTTTCACCCACACCCTTTTGMAAAACTTTCCTATCTTTCAAAGGTTACCAGAATGGTCAAAAAAGGCTTGCAAAGCTTAGAAAATTCATTTTCTTGTTTCTCCATGATCTTTATGGCGTCATTATTAATGTCATGTGAGAGTTTTGAATGTTATAGGTCCAAACTCAGCTCCTAGCTCCTCCAATGATTATCCTCAATCAATATGTCCAATTAATCCAACTCCTAAGAGTAAAATKTTTGTTTAAGTACCTTGATACATCATCATTATATTGACATTTTAGAAAGTCAGCAAAAGCTCCCCTGAAACTTTCTGTTCCAAGCCTTGGACCATAAGTGAACAGCTCTGTTGGATCACAGATTGCCTAAAAACATAAAAAAAAACACAGAACTCTTTCATATTTATAATTATAAAAAAAATAAATAAGTAAATATAAAATAAAACAAATGATTTTTTGTAATTAAATGTTTTGGTTTGTATTATGATTAATAATACTGCAATGAGTTTTAATTTGTATAATGACCATAAAAGCACCAGCACTTTAATTAAGGCTTTTAAGGTAAGCATTTAACATGGAAAATTACAGCTGTTTAAATAATTTCACTCACCAAGCTATGCATAGTAGCAAGTTCCATAGCATCTTTACATCCAGTTATCAGAAAAGGATCGATAGTGTCATCAGATAGACACACCAAAGACGTGTTTTCACCGTTCAGTTCTTCAAACAATGTTGCCATTTTAGCATAAACAGATTAAATATGAARGCAAAATCTGTCCTTGATATATGTGTTAAGAAAGTATTGACGTTTTCTGTTGTATTCTGAGAAAMACCATTATCTGATGTGCAGAATATTTCAGATCTTAATCCAAAGACCTGCCTTGTAGCAAATGAAGCAGAAAAATAACCCATTTTTGGGCAGAACCAAAAATTGTCCACGCAAAAGTASTCAATCAAAACAACTAGACAGGGAGCCCAAGTAGTTTTTGGGCTGCCTGTGGAAAGTTTCAAAATGGCGGACGYAAGGAGTCTATTTCGTTTCTCGTGGAATATTAAAAGTTTTAGTCGACATAAGATGATTTTATCCGTCTTTATAGATAATGTACGGTTTRGTAGCACAACTAGTAAGAAACGTGCTCATTTTTTACAAAGGACAAGACGCACAGAGGACAATATCAAGCAAACACGTGGACAAGTTGAAATGGATTATGCAAGCTTTAGAATACCTTCAGAAAGACTGAGACAATTACGAAATTATTACTTCTCTAAAGCTTCACAAGCTTATTCGCGAGGACAAGGAAATATGGCAAAGAGGATGTCTTCTCGTGGATGGATGATTCACTCGGCAATGCAGCATACGAACAGACAATGTGTGAATGACATACTGAAAATGACCAACTTGGAATATGATGTCTTTAATACATCTATGAAAACTTTAAATCTTCATGGTTTACGCGTTAAAGAAGCCATGAATGCTGTAGAAGAGTTTTTAGAAGAACAAAGYGAGCATAGAGGACGGCTTAGGATAATTTCAGGATGGGGAAACAATAGCTATCCGCGAAAACCGCAACTTTTGCCTGCATTAAAAGAAATGTTGATGGAGCAAGGACGACATTTTAGAGAAATTCAGCCCGGTGTGATTGAAGTTATTAATTGATATTGAAAATTTATTAAAGAAAACAAGAACAAATTCGAATGCCTGGTGATGAAAACAAGCAGCTTGCTTTGCAGACTTCCACCAAAAGAGAAAAGTTTTCTAGTTTTTTGGCGAGATTTTCAACGGTATAAATAATTTGTCTGCAAAGCTGGTTACAAAAATAAATAATATRAAATGAAAAAATATTGGGTTGCCCAATTTTAGTGGGTCGTACGAAGGTTTTTTTTTGGAAGCCAAAGAATAAGTTACAATGATAGCTAATGCATTGGACCAGTATCCGGCATCTCTCGCTGTTTCTCACGAGATTTTGTTTGTGTTTTGAAAATGAAAATACATCGTAACATAAACAAAAACGTACTATTGATCATATTTATAAGAGTAAAAGTYAAAATCTTACCCGGACAGCAGTTCGCCAACATCCAGTTTTTGAGAATGTTTTTTTTTTCAAATTTTCATTGTGTTCACTTTCAGCCTTTCCTCGTAAACATGATATCTCCGACTACGAACAGTTCTTGTATTTTTTCCAATAAACGAGTTTTCATTAAATTGAGTAAAACTTGGACAAGGACAAGTTAAGACAAGATCTTGAATTTGATTGCAAACCAACGAAATGAAAAAGGCGGGAAAAGTACGCACGCGCGACAGCCACAATAGATGCTTGCGACGTAAGCCGGAAGTGAATTGAAAACAATAGAAAACAAAGGAATGGAAACGAGGCCCTGGAGGAGTTTAAATGGCAAATATCTAGGGATTCCGTTCACTTGAATTTAAGAAAAATCGCTTGTCTGTAGGAAAACGACATTTTCTTGCTTCTTGTTCAATTCAATAAGAATAGTTTTCCATCCCTATAAAGCTACTTCCGGTTTATGTCGTAAGCATGTATACTATAGCAAAGGATAGCAAAGCATGATGGTTTTTGTAGACTTACTTTTTATCATATTAAAAAGTGTTTCTAAAGTGTTCCATCTAGTTTTGCAAAGAAAAAAAAAACGGCTTAGCTAGACTGTTTTAGTTGACATGAAAAAAATCGAGGAATGCAACTCCATCAATTATGCACTTACACTGCACTTACATCATTCTTTTTGCACAAAATGGCGTCGCGTCTAACTTATAATCCTCGTCCGTTCGGTCATTTCAGAGAAATCTCAGTCCTAATTGGCAATGTCGTGATATCATYCCCTGGAAATATATGTGTCGGCATGTCTTGGATGTAAAATAGTAGAAAAGTTACAACTTCTGAAGGCACGATTTTTAATACCGTGATCTTATATTTCAAACGTTTCGCCTTGGGGCTTTGACGGCTTCATCAAATTTCATATAAAAGTGGTTTAACGAAAGTTATAAAGACTGAGCTCATTGTTTACTCTATTGAAAGAAAACTTTAATTGTTCTGCGCGGTTTTAGTATATTTGCTTCTATTGGTCTATTTTCTTTGCTACTCTTTCTATATAAACTCACACTATACCCAGTTCCATCTCTTTACTCCGACGAAGGACTAACGTCCGAAACGTCAGTAAGTTATTTCACCTACTTTTTTTACGGTGTGTTAAATTTATCTTTTCACACACCTGTTTCTTTAGAAACACCGACRCAGCTCACACTGTAGTTTATCGCTAGTTCTCACCATTTTAAGTATATTTACATGCATAAGAATATAAATCAGATCATTCMTTCTTAATTTTAAAACCGAAAGACGTGATTTTAATGCGAAGTTTGATA